GGTTATTTCCCAACATTCTTTATTGCAGATAAAGCAACACTGTCTACCCAGCTGCTTCAACAAGGAACCTGGGAATTCCTCTCAACTACTTTCTCCTTTTCTCTAAGTTCTTTGATTCTTTCTTAGGCATCCTTAGAGTGTTTATCCCCACAGCTGTCACCTGAGTCAAGTCCAAGCTAGTACCTTGTTCTCGGATGTCATAGAAGCAACACCATCTCAACAGCTTCCTCTGCTCTCCCCCCACCAATATACTTTCTCCTTCGCTACCAGCAGGATCTAATGCAGCCTTCCCACACAGGACAATGCTCAAACTCCTTTGTATAACACCTAACGCCTACGTCATACAATCTTTACTAATTCTTCAGGTTAAATTTCCATTGCCCTCCTCTCCCCTGCATTTGACACTGCAGACACACTGAGCTTTTGTAGCCTTCCGCTCACATTACACTTTAGGACTCTGCCCACGCTCTTCTCTTTGCCAAGGATGTTCTCACTTAGACTCTGTCTGCACGATGCTCTTCCACCTGCAGACCTGCTCTGCTGTCACCTTTTTCAGTGCACCTTACTCCCAGCCTTCCAGAACAGAATCCTCCCTCTCTGAAATTTAGCATTTGCCCGACTATGTCTCCAGCTAGAGAGAGCACTTTTTCGGGGGAGTGGGACCACATTTTCATCACATCAGCATCTACCACCATGCCTGTGAGATAACAAAATTCAGCACATGTTCAGCTAAGGTTCTGCTTGTCCAGGATGAAGAAACCCCTTCACATGGTGTAGTGTATGGCATTTGAGTCAATTTTTCCAAGTAGTAAATAATTTTTAAGCAATGATTTTGCTATGCTATTGTCTTGGTTACTTTTTTCTCGTTGCTGGGACAAAATACCTGACGCCCAAAATTAAGGAAGGAAGGTTTATTTTGCTTACAGTTTGTGGAGGTTTCAGTCCGTACTTGGCAGATTATAAGGTAGAGTGGCACATGGCAGAGAGCTACAGCTCATGTTGGCAGAACACAGCAGCGAAACAAGCACACACTCACAAGGGAGGAAATGGCCAGAAGCACCCTCTTTCTCTCCTTACATATGCAAACTATCCACCCCAGGGCGGGTGGAGCTCTCACACTCATAATCAATCAAACTCTAAAAGCCTGCCCCATGGCCGCATGAGGCTTTCGGGGGACACCCAGACACAAACCATAACAGCTATATACTTGAGGTATTATACTGCAAGTAAATCTAAGACAATTCTGTAAAACTGGAAAAGTTAATTGCTTGATTCAAACGCTGTCTTATTTCCTTAGAAGCAGAGAATTTTATGAACTCGTTTCTTTTTACCCCTCTTCACAATTCATGACTGTTTTTATCTGTCCTACCTCCTAAATTTGTCTCCTGTCTCCATCCCACTGCTAAGCTGTCACTGCAGACCACGTCATCTCTCACCTGGCTCTTGCAAAAGCCAACTCATAAACCTTCTGTTCTCCACAGTAGCCAGCGTGCACCTTTTCAAATGCAGGCCAGGTCATGTTACTTCCCTGCTTCCAAGTCTCCAACTGCTTCCCACTGCAGCAGTCTTCAAACTCTTAACTCATAGCTTACTGGTCTTAAGTGCTCTCTCACAGTTTCCTCCTTCTCCATCTAAGCCTGTACCTCTGCACTCACACACTGCTCCTTCCTTGCAAGCTCTCCTTCTGGTCCTTGTTGTCATCAGCACCTTAGAACCTCTGCAGTCCTCTCCTTGGCCTCCAGATTTGCAAGGCTCTCCTCGGAGTCTCTGGGGTCTCTCCTCATTTAGATGCTCAAATGGCATCTCCTTAGTGCCTCCTTCCTCACTCAGTTTATTGCAGCGGCCATCCACAGGGCGGCCCCTCACCTTACTCTATTTTCCTCAAGTTGCTGCTCCAGCATTGAATGCTAGAGCACATAAGCCCTAGACCCAGACTCTGTGGGCTCAAATTCCATGTACGCCACACCAGCTGCACAGCTTGGGACAATGCTCTGCATATTTCAGTGCCTTTGTTTTCAGAATAAAACCAGTGCCTTACAAAATTGTTAGGAAGCTAAATGAGTTAATATATGCAAAGTGCTTCCCGCAGAATTTGGCTCAGAATAAGCACTCAATATATATTCACTGCTATTAATTGTTCATTTGTCGTTTGGCCCTCCCTGTGTACAATAGTACCTTGGTTCACGAGCTTGATTCTTTCCACAGTTCTGGTCAAAAGCCGAATCGGATGAGAACTGAATCAAATTCATTGCCTAGGGTCACTGTTGCTCTTATGGTGAAATTTGATTAGTTAGTTACTCTTGTGTTACGGTTGATACATTGTGTCGACTTGTAGAGTCTAGAGGTTTGACTAAGTGACTCAGCAGTTGTGCATCCTGGGGTACAAAGGACCTGCCCTTCCTGCTCTAGGATGTTATTCATTGTGTCAATGTGAGTTTAGAGGTTAACTATGTGAGCACTGCCCCCAGGGGGGTAGCCTTGTTACAAAATAAGGGAGGAAAATAGGCTCACATACACTGCCATTCCTCCCTTTTGCTCTTGTTTTTGCTGTGTTCTGCTGCCATGAACGTTTGCCCTCTGCCATGTGCCACTCTGCCTCGGAGCCAGCCAAGTATGGCCTGAAACCTCCGCAAACTATAAGCTAAACAAACCTTTCCTTCCTTAATTTTGGGTGTGGGTATTTTGTCTCAGCAATGAGAGAAAAGTAACCAAGACATCTTGTAAGCGGAAGTATCACCAAACTTTCCTTGTAAACTCTATTCCCCGACAAACATGTGAAATTTAAAGAGCAGACCAACTTCCTTACTCTTCTGTAACACCCTCGTTTCTCAGAACAGGTCAGGCATATTTGTTGAATGAATAAAGTATTGGAAACAAGTCATGAAAGTGTTTAAGAATATTTCAAATTATGTCATTTTAAAAAACTCTGATCTAGCATAGAGAATTATGCAGTTCCTTTGTTCTCAGTTTCTATCTCTCAGTGCACTGCTGGCAGAGCATGGGGATGCACAAGTAGAGAACACTGGTTCCATCACTGCACACCAGAGGACATGATGGGCCACCCAGGTGGTTGCTCTGGTCCTCTGGAGACACATCTGCAACACTGAGTTGTCCCTATATCTGAAGATGGAAGCCAGGGTCAGGTGTGGGACTTTTTATTTGTTTGGCGGTTGGTTTTGTCATAGTTCTAAGATTTATGATTTCATTAATATGCAATCAAACTCCAGAAAACTATCAAAGACTACAATGTAAAACCTTGAATTACTTTGCAGGTCATGTAAAAACAAATAATGTTAACTAAATCTAGTATTAGTTTGGCTTATGTCGCTGGGATTGTCTACCCATTAAGATTAGCTTCTAGCTCCATGCACACGCACTCACAACATATGCATCCCTATTTGCTTAAAGTGATGTGCTTAACCAGAAACTAAAAGAACTAGTAACTAAAAAGACGGGAAACAAGTATCTCAAACTTATGCTTAAAAATGCCACTGAAGTGGGCTCTTCAAAATGTTTACCTCCAACTTTGAGTAAGAAACCAGCTTTCTCCTGATCTCATCATCAATCCCACATTCATGGTTATTTCACTTCTATGGATTAGATTAAATTTAAATTGTTATATTAAGATGCATGATTTTATGTACCAGATATTTAAAGGCCTTGGTCAATAAGTTTGGAGTTGTTCTACTACTTCCTCAAGAGTTCCCTCTGGCTTTCTGGTTGTAACTCTGCTAGTGAAATTTTCTCTCTCGCATTCTGTACCCCATTTCTCTTATCATTAACAGAAAATTTCAATTAAAATGATTCTCTTGTAACTGTTGACCCACTGAAAGAGCTATTTCAGGTGGTATCTACCAGGTTTGTCCCTTATAAAATTATGACTTTTTTTCTTTGTTAATAATCTACATGGAAAGTTTTGTTTCTTTTTTTTTTTTTTTTTTTTTTTTTTGGTTTTTCTCCGGTACCAGGAACCGAACTCACGACCTTGCGCTTGCCAGGCAGGCGCTTTTGCCGCTGAGCTAAATCCCCAGCCCGAGAGTTTTGTTTCTTAATGAGACAGGGTCTCCTTATGTATCCTGGTTGGCCTTAAACTTGCCATCCTCCTGCCTCAGTCTCCCAAGTGCTGGGATTACAGACTTGTGCCACCACACCTGGCTTTGTGGAGAGATCTTTTGATAACTAAAATTTCTTATCAAACTTTCACTCACTAGTTTTAGCATTTGTTTACCATTTTCTATGGTTAATAATTGACATTCCATTGTAAGGAAAGCCTTCCCTCTTCCTCTGCTTATTTACTCATTTATGTTAGTATAAGCTCCTGGATTTTTATTTCTTTTGATAGTTTATAATGCATTAGGATGATTTATTTTGTTGTTAAAAGTATCCCAGCTTTAACCTCGAGGAGACCCTTCAATGTTCCATATGTGACCCTTTGAGTAGGCTCTGCCGTATTTTGATCACTTTCTTATCTTCTGCCAAAACATCATCTTCTAATTTACCTGCACTGGCCTTGGAATCAGGTTTTTCTCTAAGGAGCTGTGGCAAAGAGGCTGATTCTTTTCACTGGAGAATGGAATTCGGAAACCAAGCCTTGGGTGCTAGACATACTGCGAGGGGATCATTTCTTGAGATAAAGGAATTTGTCATCCTCTCCCCCTCCCCCACTTATCAGTTAGAATTTACATTGCAATTCTGGAACTATAGAGAGTTCATTTTATTCCCGTGCTCAATAGCATCTCCATTTTGAGTCTGGATGGACAGAGACCTTTCGCGCGGGCAGCACTGGGTCGGCGTCTGCGGACCTGCAGGAGGCGGCCCGGGCCACAGCCCGCAGTACCTGCCGTGTCCTCCAGGGTGCGCTGCGCGCCCCCCGGGCCCGCAAGGCTTCCAACCTGCAGCGTCCGCAGCCTCTGGGCGAGGACACGGAGGAGGCGCATGTCAGCGCCCCCACTTCCTCCCGGCGCCGCCGGTGATTGGCTCCCGGGTTTATAAGAGGCCGGTACCGGAGCAGCTGCGGCTGGCAGAAACTTAGCGGAGCTTTGCCGGTGCTGTCACCTCCTCCTGCCGAGCAGAGCCGAGCCCAGCCGCTGCGCCGGGGAGGATGCGGTCGTCCTGCGTCCTGCTGGCCGCCCTGGTGGCGCTGGCCGCCTACTACGTCTACATCCCGCTGCCCGGCTCGGTGTCGGATCCCTGGAAGCTGATGCTGCTGGACGCGACTTTCCGAGGCGCACAGCAAGTGGTGAGGCGCTGCTTCTCTCCCCTCCCCTTGAGCAGCATTTGATGGGGGAGCGACGCTTCGTGTCCCCGAGCGTGCGTGTTTTCCTGGCGCGGCGCAGCGGTGGCTTTGTAACGGGGCCCAGCTGGACGTCGCTGGGCTGTCGCGTTCGCCTCCTTCCCGCGGGCGCGGAGCGGGTCTGAGTCGCCTGGTCTGCGCTACGTGAGAGGGAAGTTCTGGAGCAGAATTTGACAGGCGGTTCACCTTTCCTCGGTGCTGAACCTCCCCCTGCTTGGTCTGCGGTGCCAAGAGCCAGATCCTTCAGCATTTTGCAAACCACTCTTCCCCCATTTTGTTCTCCCAGAGGGGCCGGCAGAGAGCGAGTTAAACGTGTCAGGAAGGGGGAAAGCAGGCGCTGATTCTGGGGATGCAGCCACTTTAAAAGCAGAAGGGGTACCGCGGTGTCCTCCCCCCTCGCAGGCCTCGGCGTTCTCCCGTCCCGGGGGTGCGGCGCTGGAGAAACCGCGCAGACCCCCCACTTCATCCTTGGCTCTTGGCTCAGTCCTAGAAAGGAGGCAAAGAGGCCCGGCTGGCTGAACAGGCGGCGGAGGTGGAAGCTCAGCCAGCCCTTGTTTGCATAATGTATGTTTTCTGCCTGCCCCGCAGCATGGATGTCCTTGACTGCCAAGGCAACAACCTTTGCCTGAGCTGGGGTGCCCGGGCTTAACCTGGAGGAATAGGGTTTCTCTCCACTGCATCACGAATGTGTGCGTGATACCCCGCATAGACAGGAAAAGGTAACTGTCTGAGGTTTATTCCATGCATTGTTTTTAGTGTAACTACAGCCTGCTGCCGAGGCTGAGCCCTCAGATTGGACAGTATTTTCGAGCAGTCTGCTCTGTCTAAACTCTTAACCCTCTTCCCAAATCGTCACTTCCCTCGCCCCTACCCTGGGCTTTAATCCAGGTTATTTCTGTAAAAATTCTTCCGAGAATGACAACTAGACAAAGGAGAGGGGTGACCCTGACTTTCCCAGAGAGTTTGTATCCCCTTTCCCTGCCCACTCTGTGTAAGATTACAGTCTGTAGAGCTTTGTCCTATTAAAAGTCCCCTTATTAGGATGTTGTAGCACATTCCTAGTAGAAATTTGCTTTTTTCTGAATCCAAGCACGTTCTCCACCTCCAAGTCCCCCCCCCCTTTTTTTTTTCCATTAAGAAATGTCTACAAAACTTTGAAGTCCATCCTTCCCTCTGCTGACTAAAATTTGATATGGTGGAACAGTGACCAGGACCCCTTCTCTAGTATTGATACCAAGAAAGTCAGTCTTCAGGTAGGAAGCCCTGCAGTTTCTCTCTTCTCTGGTGGAAGTAACGCCTTTCAAAGACTCAGGAGAACAATAGTATTTACCTGTCTGGGTTAAATGCTTGTCTCCAGTAACTGAAAAAGAAAACAGGGAAGAAGAAATTTGTGTTGGCTGTAGTCACAAGGAAGTCTCCCTTGTATAGTAAGTAATTTAGGAAAAGTCAGGTTTGAAGAAAAGCTTTTCTTCCCCAGCTGAGCTGCCATGAAGAGCAAGTCTGTGTATGGACCCCCTTTGGTGTGCCCAAAGACTCTCTGGAACTGGGAATGCCAGGTCCCAGCAGAGGAGGGGCGGAGTGTTCTGGCCAGACCTGAGCAGGTTTGCAGAGAAGTGGCTCTTGTCATTTCTCTTCTCAGTTGTAAAATCTTGGCACGATCCTTCGGACCAGACGAAAGCACATGCTATTCATGAAAATAATTTTTTGCTGAGTTTTCCCTATGAAACGGGTTGAAGGGGCTGGGGATTTAGCTCAGTGGCACAATGCCTGCCTGGCAAGAGCAAGGTCGTGAGTTCGATCCCCGGTACCTGAAAAAAAAAAAAAAAAAAGAAAAAAGGGGTTGAACCCTGGGCCTCGTGCATGCTCAGTGGGTGTTGTACTGAGCAGCCACACTTCCAGCCCGGTAGGTACTTAAATGCCTGGTACTTGTAGTTATTCCGAGTTGTTCCCAGCGGTCCACTGTGGATTGTGGAGGACATCTGTAGGATTGCCCAACTTCATTGGAACAGGAAGCAAATGTGAACTGGAAGTAATTTGTGTCCTTGAAACGTAGAGAGCTATCACTAAAGTGCATAGCATCAGCCTTGTTACTCCAATACTTTTAGTTTCAGTTGCAAAAGCAGTTGAAGCCATTTAAGAGATTAAGCTTGGCCTACTTCCTGACACAGGAGTACCTACCTAGCATCAAGAAACACAAGTGCTGCTTTATTCTGTTGTCACTGGCAAATGCCTCACCCCTTCCTGCCCTGTCTTACATCCTTCATCTTGTGCAGTGAGTCAGATTACTGAGACTGTGTGTGCTGTCCTCTTCTTCCTTGGGGTCCTCTAATGTTATCTAAGAAGAAGCTACTGAGGATTTCTCTCTTAACTCATCTCAAACACAGATGCTACATTGGAATCCTCTGGGAACCATTAAAAAATCCTGATGCTCAGGTCCTCACCCTTCACTCAATGAGCCAGGATTTCTGGGAGATAAATATTTTTAACAACATTTAAAAATGTCCCCCAGGTGACTGAAGTTGTAGCAAAACTTGAAAACCACTGGTCTCTAAAATGCATTCCTATTATAGATAGTATATTTTCCTAAGACTGTTCAAATTATATTTTATGTATGTTCTTGAGAACAAGCCCCTTCATATTAGCATGGATTAGTTTATCAGATTAATTGGTGACACTTTGCCTCAAAGAGTCTAAGGGGATAAGATACTGGCCAGGCAAATTTCAGTATTATAATCGAACCATTATAAAACTTGAACAGTGGAAAAGCACAAATGAAAGATCTGGAAAAGACAGTGGAGCAGTTTATATGAAGATGGAGAAGAAAAGTAGAGGGAAGAAAGAGAGAGTGGAGCAATTCTCAAGACTGATTTCTAAGTGCTATGCAAAAAAAAAAAAAAAAAAGGTAATCCTGACATAAGTGAAAGGACTGAAACATACACTGCTGCTTAAAACTAGAGGAGGAGTTCGCAGTACACATCAGGAGCCTGAGAAGTGTTATTCCATCTTCACAGTCACTCTGTGTAGAATGTATTGTAAATCATAATGGATCTAGACAAGATTGGGTTGGAGATGTAGCTCACTGGTGGATCACTTGCCTAGCACACACAATTTGGAGCTGTAAAGATGGAACCATTCAACTAGGTATGTTAGCACACACCTGTAATCAATCCATCCTACCTACTAGGGATGCTGAGGCACAAGGACTGCAAGTTTGAGGCTAGCCTGGGCAACTCAGCAAGACCCTGCCTCAGAATTCTAAAAAAAAAATTTTTTTAAGGGTTTGATATATAGTTCAGTGGCAGAGTGCTTGGATAGCATGCATGAGGTCCTGGGTTCAACCTTCAACACAGAAAATGAAATAAAAAATGGAAATACTTTCCAGGATTAAAAACTGTTCAGCTAGTCCTTTTCAAAGTACTGTCATTTATGAGAAATGTGAGGAAACATTCAACAACCTTTTTCTCCCAGCATAATATAAAGGAATGAAGAGTTGAGTACAATGTAAGGGGGTTAAGGAATCACTCAGAGGTAAAACACTTGTCTAGCATATAGGAACCCTAGGACAGACGTCCTCATCCTCCCTAAAAACAATAAAATATTTTTAAAATTTACATTGTAAAATGTTAAATGATTTGAGAAAGATACGTACTATATATTGTGGGGAAAGGTTATAAAACAGCGTCTATACTATTTCATATCAGAGCGTACTTTAATGGTTGTGTTTGTTTTGTTTTCTGTGTTACTGGGAATTGAACCTAGGGCCTCACATGTGCTAGGCAAGCACTCTGCACTGAGCTACATCCATAGCCTTATATTTTTTTCACAATGAACATATATTAATAAAAAGCTATTCTAAGATTTTGTTTGTGGTCCAAGAGTATATTTCCTAATTAAAAAGTGGAGCTGATGGCCATCTACACATCAAAGTGGTGTATACTTTTGGGATTGTTCTATGAGGAAAACCAAATTTCTTTTTAAGAAGCTTTCTAGATCTCCTGATAGCATACTCTCATGAGTAGTCACTTAGACTTACTTGTAAACAGATTGAAAACTTACCATATGAGGCTTTGAGGAGATGCTCAAGTAGTCTAAAAAAAAAAAAAAAAAAAAAAAAGGCAGAGAGAAAGAAGAAAAAGAAAAGGACGGAGCCAATAGGTATCTTAGGACAGGTATAGTTACAGAGGCTTACGGGAGGGAGGAGCTCTGGACAGGTTAGCGAGTGATAAAAACGGTTTCGGGGGAGTTTTAAGCAAGAGCCTGCAAGCCTGCATTGTCATAACTTTATTATCTCTTAACCTATTAGCTCTTTCCTTTCTTCATGGATTTCTTTCTATGTTTATTTTAGGGGTGCTGAGGATCGAACCCCGGGCCTTGTGTGTACTGAGTGTGTGCTCTTACCAGTGAAGTGTAGCCCCCCTTTACTTCTTCGGTCCTGTACTATGAATCTTTTCAGTGGCGTAATCCAAAAGGGATTGCTGCAGTTGGCATTTCTGCTGATGTTCTCCCCATTTCCTACACGATAGTGCTTTGGGCCTAATTAAGCAAGATTTTCTTTTTTCTGTGAAATGTCCCCAAAGTTGGTGAGATTCAATATGCCCTCACCTGAATTCTCTGTACAGGATGTGCTTTTGTGCTGTGTGGGTGTGATTTAAATGACAGCTCAGCTGCAAAGCTACAAGGTGCTAGCCCTTTTCATGACAATTTCAAATTGGAATTTTTACTAATATCAGGTAAATTTAATTCCATAGTATGAGTATATAATGTTTTGTCTCCTGCCTTCCTGACTTGTGATGGTGTGTACTGCTTTGTTTATATAAGTTGGAGATTTCTCTAACCACAGTAATTTTTAGCTGATTTGATAGGATTTTCTGTAAACACATGGCAGCAGAAAGGCTTTAGAAATAACTTCAGGGCACCATGTAACCATTATTAGTGCCGGCAGGTGA